CTAACTGCCCGCGGTTTACAAACTGCCTAGGCAGTTTGCATACTACCGGATTATGCTATCTGCCTACGACATATATATATATATATATATATTTAAAACATACTATAATTATTCAAAAATCAGGAAAATACGTCAAAAAATCCAGAGACTAAATTCGAGATATTCAAAAAATTACATAACGATTTTTTTAAAAATATTTAATTAATATAGATACTAGAATTGATAAAATATATCCTTTATATAAATATGATTGTTAGGAATATTTTTTTAACAACATAATTAGCATAATGAATGAAATGATACATTATTTAGGAGAAACCATTGTTTTCCAAAGACAAAGTCACTCGTGGAGAGTTTAATTAGAACATTAATTTACTTTCACAAGACAAGAAGAAAATAAACTATTGATCAGATGAGAAAATTTTTAAATTATTCTATAATAACAATCAATAATTAATAGTTTTATTCTGAGAAACAGCACAATGAAGTTAAAAAATAATTTAAAATAATGAATTTGAAAATTTAATTAGATAATTATTTCAAAATTAAATAATTTGAAGCTTAATCTGCAGTTATTTTAAACTAGTGACCATAGTTTTACTGAAATAAAACGGTGACATCGAAAAACTGACAAAATGAATCAATTCAAATTAATTATAATTTTTGTAACAGCCATAAAATAATTGCATTTCGTAAAGAGAGTGCGTTTATGGACATCGCAGTGTGTGTATAAAATTCCACTTTTTCAATGGTGAAACATGTGACCTGAAGGTTCACCATCAGGTATCCCGCTGAACGAAGAAGTCTGACATATCTTAGTAGCAACCAGATCAGTCGCACCAAGTAAACTTAATCGAAATGTACAGTCCACGGGGTTCTAACGTTTTCGCCAGATAGAGAACTAGTCTCGTCATAGGCGGTTCCTATGTACAGAAAATTAAAAATCCTATTATTTAGCACTATTTTTGCATCCAACTGGTATTAATTGAAACTATACTCCTAATTAAAACCGCCACTCCAATCTTTTAAAAAATACACTACTACAAACGATGATATTCTTCCGGATTATTTAATTTTAAAAAATCCAAACTACAAAATTTTAAATTAATAAATTTTTCGATTAATATTTTCCATGAAAAAAATGTGTTTAAATCAGAACCAAATCATTTTTTAAATATTTTAAAAAAAAAAGTCCTTCGTGGATTATTTTAATCTTGATGGATTCAAGCGTTGAAGATTATTTTAATGTTAAAATTATTATTTTAATATTAAAACCCCACCATTTTCTGTTATCAACAACGCTGAAAGCAGTATTAATCTTTTAGAATTGAGGAAAAATTATGGTTTTTGGTGCCCATTAATCATTTAAAACACGCTACCTTACGTACCTTACCATCTTTATGAAACTTCCTGCATTATCATTAAATAATGCAGGAAATAAAGTATATGTCAGGTAACTCGGAGAATCTCGGTGTGCATGTAGCTCAGTGGTCAGAGCAGTCTACCGGCAATAGAAAGATCGTGAGCTCGTATCCCACCATGCTCCCGTTTCTTCTGAGTTTTTGTATTCGGGAAACGGTGCTGTCGATACATAAATTTATGAAGCTTAGAAAAATTAATTCGGAGTGATTATTAACTTCTTCCATCCATTAATATTAATACCGAACCTGGAACTTGCAAGAATTTTTGTGGCACCGAAATAAAAAATTTAGAAATTCTACACAGTAAATCTTTGAATACCAATTGCTGTTAAACTCACAATGTATTGTTAGTAGATTCACAACTAAAGTGGGGAAAAAGTGGTCAAAAGACGAAACTTCTTATTTAATAGAAGTTTCGATAATAATATGTTCTCTTTTTTTCAATATTTAGTAGTCAAGTTAAGAGAAACTCGTTTATGATATAGGAGAAAAAATAGTTGTTGAAAAAGTGAATGTCGGAATTTTATTTTCTATATTCCTAAGAATAATATTTTCTTCGCCCCGCGTTTACAATTTAGTAGTCAAACTATCAGAACTGCACGCATCCCTGGTAAAAATTTCGGACTAATTCCGGATTAAATACGGACAGATTAGTACGTATTAGTCCGAAAATTGTACGAAAAAGGTCCGAAAATGATCCGCGCTAGTCTCATATCAATCCGAACGAAAACCTGAATCCGAAAACACTCCGGAGTAATCCTGAATATCTACGAATTTAGTCCGCAACAATACAAATTTATGACCGGTGAAGAATTCTTCTAAAATAAGTACGGAATTATCCGATATCAATATATAAAGAATACGGAATCAGTCCGCAACAATCCGAGTTTAATCTAGTTAAAAAAACTTAATCCACAAAATGTCCGGAGCAATCCGAACTCTGTAAGCTAGAAATCTGGTGTTAGTCCGCAACAATTTGAAATTAAATGTGGCAAAATCTTATTCCGAAAGAAGTACGAAACAATCCAAAATCTGTATGCTATATAAGAATCCGAAAATTGTCCGCAACAATCCGGATTTAATCCAACTAAAAGGTATAATCCGAAACAAATACGAAATAATCCGAAATCTGTACACAAACAATCCGACATTAGTCCGCTTCAACTCGGAATTAGTGTAGTAAAATCATATTCCGAAACAAATATGAAACAATCCGAAATATGTATGCTAATAATCCGGTAATAGTCAGCGTCAATCCGAATAATACCCGATCAAAACACCCCTGTCCGAAAAAAAGTCTTATTATTATAAGAATTTGTAAATATATACAATCCATAGACAGTTCAATACAATCCATATTCAATCCAATTCAAAGACTTAATCCGGAATGATTTTAGAACAGAAACCTGTCCATAAGCAGACTGTTTCGGATTAGCTGCGGATTCACTGGTTAAACCAACCGGATTACTTCTGCATTTAATAGTTGCATTATGCAACTTGCATATGATCTGACTAACTACAGACTAAACCGGGCTAATTACGGATTCAATAGTGATAAAAAGCGGTATTGATTTCAAACTTAATTCATGGTGAAAAAACTCCACAATAAACCGTACTGTTGCGGACATATTCCGAATAAGTCCGAAATCGGTCCTACTTTTTATTCAGGGTATTTACTTATCACTGTAAAAAAATTTTGGGGTAATTTTACCAAAAATGTTTTGGAAGTAATTTACACCAAGAATTTGTGGGTAAAAATACACAAGATTTTTGGAAGTTTTACCCAAAATTTCTTGAAAAAATTCCTATTAAGTTTTAGGTAAAAATGCACAAGAGTTTTAGTGATTTTACCCAAACATTTTGGAAGAAACACCTAAAAGGTTTTGGGTAAAAATACAAACATTTTGGTATCTTTTATAAAAGTTTTGGAAAAAATACCCAAAAATTTTTAGGTAAAATTACACAAGTTTTTGTACTTTTGTCCAAAGTTATGTGCAGAAATACCCATGAAATTTTTGGAGAAATTCAAGACTTGTGATAATTTTTTATCTAAACATTTTGAGAAAATACGTAAGTGATGAAATGGAATAGTTAATTTTTCATCCGCAATTTAAAAAAATTCGCTAATATAATTTCAAACAATAATTGCAGATTGTGGTATTCTCTCAGGGTAAGGTCAAACACAATAACACAAGAACAATACATATAATAATCACTACACAGCGGGCCCCGAACCTCTCGGCTCAAAGAGTAGAAAAGAACTGTCTTATCGTCAGTCTCCCCACCATGGCGGCCCTGTATTCTTTTATTAGTTATACAATACATTCATGAACAATTATATAAATGTAATTTATGATTAAATTACTAAATACCACATCCCTTCCATTTTACAAATTTTTTTTTTTTTTTTTTTTTTTTTTTTTAACATTATAAACTAGTTGATTAATTCGTAGTAATAAGATATAATACTTCAATATTTTCGTAGTACATTCTGAAACTTAGTTTTTAGTAACATTTGACGCATTAATATTTTTTTTTTTTTTTTTTTTTTTTTTAATAATAAACAATTAACTATTAGAGACTAATGTGAAGTCAAAACAATTATTTTAACAATTTTCCTGTTTTGGTAGTGTTTCTTCTTTTCTTCTTCTTTTTTTTTTTTTTTTTTTTTTTTTATTAATCTTGTATCACCTCCCAATTTCCTTCCACACGTTTGAGATGAATAACATTTCTTTTAAATTCTTGACCAGTAGAGTCGTTGCGAACATGTACCTCATTTCCTTCAGAACCAATAACGGTGTGTGGTTCAGGATGAAAATTGGGTGTTAATTTATTCTGTTTTTGAAAATTTTGCACATAAACTTTTTGTCCGGGTTCTACACTTTGTTCTTTTGCTTTCCTCTTTCTATCTTCATTAATTTTTCCGTATAATTTTTTCTGAATGTCTCTATCTCTTACTTCTTGATCCGTTTCTTTATTTTCAATATTTATTAAGCTTGGCAATTTGTCTCTAAATTGACGTCTGTAAAACAATTCTGAAGGTGTTCGACCCGTTGTTGCATGTGGAGTGCTATTGTACATCATTAGGTATGTAAGAAGGTCGTCTTTCCAATCAGATTTTTGAATTTGACTAATTTTCAATCTTTTTAATATATCCCTATTTTGTCTTTCGACTTCCCCATTTTGTTGAGGCCAGTAGGGAATTGTACTAAAAATTCGGATGCCTAACTCATCACAAAATGATTTAAATTCATTACTGGTAAACTGTTTACCATTGTCGCAGGTTACAGTAGCTGGAATACCAAGTCGGGCAAACATTTCTTTTAAGGAATTTATTGTTTCTTTCGCTGTAATTGATCTTAATACTTTTATTTCCTTGTAGCGACTATAATAGTCTACTACCACGAGAAGGTAGTCTCCACTAGGTAAAGGTCCTAGAAAATCTAAGGCTGTATCGATCCATGCTTGAGTTGGCAATTCTCTTCTTTTCATAGGAGTAGGTGGATTGGGTCCCGAAACTAATATGCATCCTTTACAATTTCTTACTACGTTTTCTGCATCTTTATCAATTTTTGGCCACTAAACTTTTGTACGTAATCTAGCTTTCATGTTCACAATTCCTGGGTGTCCTTCATGGGCTGCTGCTAATACTTGTGCTCTTAACTTTGTTGGGATAACAATTTTATTTCCCCGTAACAGAATATTATCATGTAACCAAAGTTCACTTTCAAACAATCTGTAATTATTTACTTGCGGATTCCAGTTGTTGTTTGTTAGTCCTTCTTGGATTAATAGAAAGTCTTGATCTGTTTGGGACGTATCTGAAATAGTTTTTAGGGACAGAGCAATTGGTCGAGCATATTGAACAATTTGGTTTACGTGATGCTCATTATCGAATGGAGTAGCATAAGGGGTCATACAAAGACGCGATAGTGGGTCAGCAATATTCATTTTCCCAGGTTGATACACTACTTTATAATTATAAGCCTGCAGTCTTAAAACCCATCGCTCAATTCGAGCGCATGGCTTTGATCTTGAATTAAAAATTACCTCTAACGGCTTGTGATCTGTAACCAATTCGAATTCATTTTTACCATACAGATACATGTGAAAATGTTCCATGGCCCAAACCAAAGCCTCTTTTTCAGTTTGAGAATATCTTTTCTCTACATCTGTTAAACTTTTATGACCATATGAAATAACTCGTGGTCCACTTGAATCGAATTGAATAAGTATGGCACCTAAACCAACAGGACTTGCATCCGCTATGATTCGCGTCTTATCATTTGGGTTATAGTAACCTAAAGTCGGAATTTCGCTCAGACTTTTCTTGAGGTCAACAAAAGCTTGTTTTTGTTCCTTCTTCCAAAAACACGTGATGTCGGCATGTTTATTAAGCTTTTGTCTCAATACTTGTCGAATGGGTTCTGTTAACGTTGCCAAATTAGGGATCCACTTTCCAACAAAATTTGTCAAACCAATAAAACTCTGAATCTCTCCAATATTCTTGGGATCACGAAATGATTGAATTGTCTTTAAATATTTATCTAGTGGTCTGATTCCTTCTGAAGATAATCTATGCCCAAGAAACTTGATTTCTTTAGCATTAAATATACATTTATTTTCATTAAGCAAAACATTATTTTCTCTTAAAACTTGTAAGACATGCCTAAGTCTCATGCTATGCTCCTTTTCATCACTGCCAAAGACAACGATGTCGTCAATAAAATTAACAACCCCTTCACATCCTAATAACATAGTTTCCATAATATTTTGGAAATTTTCGGGAGCACACGTAATCCCAAACATAAGCCTCTTATATCTGAACAAACCTTTACTTGTAATAAATGTAGTAATATATCGGGAATTTTCATCAATTTCGATTTGATGAAATGCATTGGAAATGTCTAATTTAGAGAAAACTGTGGCTTTTCGAAATTTCGGCAATAATTGATGCATAGTTGGTATTGGGTGATTCTTCCTGATTATTGCTTTATTGGGACAACGCATGTCAACGCAAATACGTACATCACCATTTTCTTTCAAGATTGGTACCATAGGGGAAACCCATTTACACGGCTTCGTGACTGGTTCGATGACGTCCATTTCAACCAACTCGTCAATTTTATTATTTACTTTAGTTTCTAAAGGTATAGGAATACGTCTATATGGCTGACGAACAGGTGTAATAGTTTCATCGATAGAGAATTCCAGGGTAACGCCTTTAAATTTTGGAAGTTGGACTTCATTTAGTGCGTTTATAACAATACCAATTTTTAAAACTTTGAGAGCAATTGCACTATCTTTACCCAGTAAATTTCTCAGTCCATTTTTAATCACATAAAATTTTCCACAAATAGTTTCAAGCCCTACTCGAATTTCTGCCTCAAATAATCCTAACACTGTTAAAGGCTCGTTCGCTCCATAGGCCATAAATATTTTGTCAGGGTTTCTATCTTGAGATTTAACTTTACAATTTTGCGACTTTAGAAAATCCCACGATTTTTCGCAAATAATATTACACTTACTTCCTGAATCTATAAGCATCTCTAGATTTACTCCACCTATTTGACATGTAATTGTCGCATCGTCATCGATGTGAAATATATAATCGATTGCTGACTCTGAACTGCCCTGCAGTTTCATGTTCCGATCTAATTTATCGTCCTCGTGACGAATCTTTTTTACATCTGTTGTATTTTTAATCGGCTTAGATTTACGCTTATTTGCCGTTGTACGGCATTGTTTGAAAAAATGACCTCTAAATCCACATTTAGTACAGGTTTTATTTTTGGCGGGACAGGTGGGACTATCATTTTTATGTGATTTACTGCCGCATCTAGTACATTGTGATTGAATTTCACTAGGTCCTTTATTTTTTGATGTATCAATTTTATTTACATTGAGACTCTGTTTGTCTTGGAAATCACATAACTGTCTTTCGACAGTTTCTTGAGCATTTGCCTCTGCAATAATTTTTTCAACTGTAACTGTATCTCCTAACAACAGAATCCTCTTTCTTAATTCTACAGATAGACATTTCTCAGTTATTTGATCAATTAAATTCTCATTCTCATTGGAAAAATTACATTTGACACTCTGACGGCGTAGTCTAAACAAAAATTTTTCAAATTTCTCGTCCGCTTCTTGTTTCATTAATCTAAATAGGTGCCTTTCAAATAGACTACTCTGTTTTGGTGCGAAATATTCGTTTAATTTATTAACAGCTACTTGGTAAACATCGACATTGTCTCCTTCTTCTACACATGCACCGGGAATATTGAAATAAATATCCTGCAGGGCCAAGCCTCCAGTATGAAGAAGAGAAGCCCTTTTTTTAATTGAATCTGTGATGTTTGCAGCTAGAAAATAAATTTCTAAACCGCGCTTCCACTTTTCCCAACGACTACCAAGCGAATTTAAATCTCCCTCGCAATCAAATTGTTCAAGTGGTGCTATTTGAGACATGGCTAGCGATCTACAATACGAATAGTTGTTTCTTTATTAAACTGTTAAATTTAATAATAATTAATAATTATAATATAAATAATTTTCTATATTGAATGCAAAAAAAAAAATTAATACTGTTGTATGAAAGAAGAAAGAGGAATCTTATTTAGTTTATTTCTAATGAACAATTGTCCATACAATTACAGTTACAGAGATACCACCAAGGACAAATTTGTTATAAACATAAACAAATTAATAGCTTATTGCAGGCACTAAATTTTTTTTTTTTTTTTTTTTTTTTTTTTTTATTTATTTATTTATTTATTTTTTTTTGATAAATTTAATATTTAATTTTATTAAAATCTTACTTGGTTTTCCTTGTCGCCAATTGTGGTATTCTCTCAGGGTAAGGTCAAACACAATAACACAAGAACAATACATATAATAATCACTACACAGCGGGCCCCGAACCTCTCGGCTCAACGAGTAGAAAAGAACTGTCTTATCGTCAGTCTCCCCACCATGGCGGCCCTGTATTCTTTTATTAGTTATACAATACATTCATGAACAATTATATAAATGTAATTTATGATTAAATTACTAAATACCACACAGATTATAGTGATTCTTTTTATTTCATGTAAAATATGTTTTAATACAAAACTATTTTACAAAATATTTTTTCACATACAATAATAAACACTTATGAAAAACAATAATAAAATAGTATGAATATTATATTAGATTAATCATTATCAACACTTATTATTAATCTACTTATAAAAAGAAATTAACAATCGTCGAAATAACAGATATTACAAACAAGCAGATTAATTAATTAAAAAATTCACTATTATTCACTATTTATAAAATATAACATCACACATACATTTACTTTCAATTAAAAACCACATTTTTTATTAAAAACACTGTAAAAACAAGAAAACCTTCACGCGCGGATGTAGCTTCTCTAGTAAATGCTGCAGAGCAACTGACGCTAAAAGGACCGTTTGACAAACATTTTTAAGAAATTCGAAAAATTTCACAAACTTTTCCTCTAAATAAAACTATAATAAAAAAACCGGTATTTGAAAGATCATAAAATAGGATCTTTTACCAGGCGAAACCCTTAGCTGGCCATCTTAAGATGAACCAGATGTGACAAAATAACCTTGAAAATTTTCACAAGAGTTTACCTAAGCTTTAGGAAAATTCTCCAATTTAATTAGGTAATATTTCACAATTTTTGTAGAATTCCCAACATCTTTGGGTAAAATGACTTTACCCACAAAATTTGGAAATTTTCCCAAGAGTTTACCCAAGTTTTAGGAAAATTTTCCAATTTATTTAGGTAATATTTCACAATTTTGGTAGAATTACCAAAAGTTTTGGGTAAAACGACTTTACCCAAAATTATAAGAGAAATTACCTAAGAAATGTTAGGAAAATTTACCAATATTTTTTACAGTGTATGGTAAATCAAATATTTAATTCTGCAGTCATAATTTGTTTTTACAAATTTACTAGTATTGTTAATTATCTTGTTTCAATATTAAAATTGACACTGATTATGTGTTAGTTTCTTGTCATTTCTTTTCGTGACACTCTATAAATTCTATTATGAATTTGAACTCCCATGCGAGCGTGGTATAGTGGTTAGTGTATACGATTTCGGTGCGATATAATGTTAGATAGGTGTAGGTTCGAATCCCCAAGCGTTAGAAATTTTAAGTTAATGTAAATCAAATTGCGACAGGTAAGTCGAAAAATATGTTGAATGTACCATAAAGTAATAATAATAATAATTATGTGTAACTTGTATAATTATTTTTTTATTAACATTTACTAAATTGCCAGAACTAATTTTTGATTGCTTCGGACTAATTCCGGATTCACTAGTTAAAATTAACTGATATTAATTTCGGACTTCATCGGACCAACTCCGGATTCACTAGTTGTTCACAAACCGTACAGAGTTCGGATTTTTCCGGATTAATTTCGGGTGACAAAAACCTGACCATAAACCGCATTGTTTCGGACAAATTTCGGATCAGTCCGAAATCTGTCCGGTTTTTTAACCAGAGATACAAACGAGAACCGCTGTTCGTGTAGTCACACATAACCAAGTGGTTATGTAAGTGATTAAGTAATCTCATATACATGTGTTCGAGTTAAATGGCCGCCGTCATTCCACCTGGTTCTCTAGTAAATGTGAGGTTATGTTTAAACAAGTCTTTTAAATTTAAACAAAATGTTTATATATTTTATTGTCACATATATTGACCTTTAATATTTTTCTCAGTTTAATTGTTTTTTTAATTAAAATTTGAAATTAAATTGAAATTTTTTAAATATTTGAATTAGATTTAAGAAGATTTTTTTAAATTTCTTAATATTTATATGATTATTTTTAATTAATGGAAAAAATTTTAAATGACTTCTTTTCATGTAAAATTTTTTTTTTATATTAAAAAAATAATAATTAAATTATTTAGTTAAATTAAATAGGTAATTAAATAAACATTTAATAAAAAGAATAAATAATTTTACGAAATAATAATGATATTATATTTTTCTATATGTCAAACATTTTTATAATTTATTACAAGAATCCTGTTTTTACAAAATAATAATGATAGGGGAGGATGGGGCAAGGATAGTTAGTTGCTGTTATGCTTAGACGGCTTGCTTAAAAATCGCATAATTCATGGTATATTCGCGTTTTAACACCAAAAGATGATAGTAAAAATTAGAAGTCAATCTGTCACCATTTGCGAAGTTGGGAGTTTATTTTTAAAAAAAGTCTGTTTTGCTAAAATATCAACGTAATGTTTATAATATTGTTTTCTGCAAATAACCAGGCTTTCCAAAAGTACTTTTCGTTTGCAGATACATATTCAAGTTTGACAGCTAGATCCGAAAAAGTCTTACCTAACTATCCTAGACAATTTTAGGGGAGACCGAGGTGAGTTGTAACAAAGCCGATTTCTCGAAAGCTATGACCTTTTAAAAATTTTAAAAAGCGTGAATTTATTACATTTTTGATTCACTATTTGATGCAAATTTACTTGACCACCTGAGAAAAGTTTATGAGATGTATTTAATATGTGTGCAAAAAAATTGCTAAAAGTAAGTTTTTGGCCGAAATTTTGATACTTTATTATTCGACACATATTAGATTTTTGTTTTCTAATATTTACCTTAATAACTGTTGGATATCCTAGTTTCATGAAATGGTTTTGCTTCCTCATAGAGGAAGGATTGTATTAGCAAAATTTTCGATTGCGATTTTTTGACATATTTATAAATTTTTTTTCATTATACCTAATCTTTTAGTACTTTATGTACGAATGGGCACTGCCCGTATAAATGTTCTAAATAAATAAAAAAAAATTTCGACGTATTTTGACCTCCGATGTCCAAAAAACGGATTTTAAAAATTTGTCCCGATGTGTGTGTACTAACATTACATTTGTCTCAATATCTCAGAACATGAAAGAGCTAAAGGCTTCATTTTTTTTTAAATTGCAGGTCTCCCCGGGGACATAAAATGAGAGTATTTTCAGCCCGATTCATAAAGTTTAACTACATTTGTTTGCATTTTTCTTTTTGTAAAAAAACGTTTTTTGGCCATAAATTAAAAAAATGTTAAAACACCTATAAATGTTTTTCTTTAGTTTTGTAGAGTTTTTTCAGACGCATCTTTTGAGCCCTAATTGAACATTTTTCGTTCATATTAACCGGAAATATTAATCTTTTAAAAATCAAAAATTTTAGAAAATAAGACTTTTTTGAAAATTTTGTTGAAAAATGTAGAAGTTTAGTTTTGTATTTAGTTTTGTAGAGTTTTTTCAAACGCATCTTTTGAGCCCACGGTGGTCTTCAAGCACTTTTAGGTTTACCTAAAATGAGTCAAAATTGTGCTGACGCAGTTTTATCTGGAATCGTTCTAAGATTCCAAATTTTCATTTCCGAAAATCGTAGCTGATTCTTTTTTTGAAAAAACATATATATGAGCAATTCCACGTGAGATTTTAGTCGACCTCTAAAAATCGGTCAAAAATATTTTTTTTCTATTCTGTATCGAGAAAAACAGATATACGTATTTTTTTATTTTTGTTTTAATTGTCCAAATTTTCGAAATATGAATTTTCGAAATTTTGGACTTGTAATTGTAGACCTATATTCAGTAGCTTATAAATCCGAAAATATTGAGTTTAGGAAAAAGTTGTCAAACAACGAAAGTTTTAGTTTTCTTTCGACTTTTAAGTAATGTAAACGAAAAATTTTTTTTTTATATTTAAAAAAAAAATTTTTTTTATTAACAAATTAATTTTTTTTAACTTTAGGCCAGATTTTTTTTTATTTTTTTTAAATTTATTTATACCTTATAATACAGTGGAAATTTTCCAAAAAGTCCCAAAATGGGCCTGATATGTTAAATGAGTTTTAAAACATTTTCAAAAATCACTTGCAAGCATCACAAAGGGATTATTTTACAATTAACTTTTAAAAATGTCTACAGCGTATAATTTTATATCTATTTGAGTGTTTTTGTCTTAAATTAAAGAGTCTACGCTGTAGACATTTTTAAAAGTTAATTGTAAAATAATCCCTCTGTGATGCTTGCAAGTGATTTTTGAAAATGTTTTAAAACTCATTTAACACATCAAGGCCATTTCGGGATTTTTTAAAAAATCTTCTCAATATTATGAGGAACAAATAAATTTAAAAAAAAAAATTGGACAAGTGCGAGTTGTACTCGCACTGCAATGGCGGGTTCCGCACACAAATATTAAAACAATACTTGCAACATTGATCGGTAATTGGTAGAATTAAAATAAACAATTATAAAAATATATTCAAATCATTTGATAAAAAAAAATAACTAAAAAAATAAAGTATTGTATATATCTAATATTGTAAACAATAATAAGCAGAGGAACAAAATTTTCAAAATTTATTATAGTTCCTCTGCTTATTATTGTTTACAATATTAGATATACAATACTTTAATT